TATAGAGGAATGTATTGGACAAAAGGTTCAAGTAACAATACTGGCCATCTGCCAGCACAGGTCAAAATTTGTAATATTTCTTTTGTCCCTAATCAATTGGACTGCCTTAATACCTGGGTTCCTGATTAGAAACTCCCTAATCCTGATTGGTACTGTCTGTCTGTAAACCTGGGTTCCTTATTGGACCCTCCATCCTCCTCCCCCTTAATCCATCTTCCTGTCTGTAAACCTAGATTCCTGATTCCCCCCACTCCCTTAATCCATCTTCCTGTCTGTAAACCTAGGTTCCTGATTTGCCCTCCTCCCCCTCACTCCCTTAATCCATCTTCCTGTCTGTAAACCTGTGTTCCTGATTGGACCATCCACCCACCTCCCCCTCCCCCTTAATCCATCTTCCTGTCTGTTAACCTGTGTTCCTGATTGGACCATCCACCCACCTCCCCCTCCCCCTTAATCCATCTTCCGGTCTGTTAACCTGTGTTCCTGATTGGACCCTTCCCCTCCCTAATTCCAGCTCCATCAATGCGGTAAATGATATTGGACAAGCTAATCTGATGGGAGAAAGGAGAAGGTAGACGACATACTGAGTTGAGTCTTAGCAGCATCCCTCAGAAAATCGGAATAACTCTAAAACTCTGACCCATATCTCATCTGTTTCCTGTATTATGATAAAATTTCAGGATGAAAAATCATACAACTTAACCAAATCAAACACTTAAAATTCTCAGATATTGGAATTCTTACTTCATCCCAATAAAACAAAATAAAATCTCTTTGAACATTTTTATTATCAATGTCATTAAACAAAATAGACACAATTTTGACTTGAAATTAGATAAAATTTGAATTGGATTGAAAAACTAGTGAGAAATATGTTTTAAGAGTGATATTAAGCAGTGTGAGGTAGTGAGATTGACGACAAACAGGAAGCTCCATCAATATACCAACAGCTGTTACCGTGTTCATAAACAACAAAAACAAATCTACATACTTATTATCGTATACATTATTACGTACTCTGAATTAAAGTGTTTCCTGCACTATATCAGGTAAAAAGGGTTCAGTTTCAAACCTTTAAAGCAAACTGATTATACAATACTGATTCTGAGTTAACACTTGGATCGCGTATTAGAGTATTAACACATATACTTGTGATATATACACCTCCTTCACATACATCACTTTCCTGGACTAACCCTAAACATCATGTCTTGTTTCATAACTAGAGTGAATCAAATATTTTTTCTCCTGTGCATTAAGGAGTGCAATGCCCTAATTACAAGTGTCTTACATACATGCATTTCATACATTGTAATCTATACAATACAATGAACCTATTTGATGTAAAACAATGTTGTGAATAACTCTTACCTGGGTAACTACTAACATACGCTATGAATACATATAACAAATGAAGACTGAAGACAGAATATTGCTACAAGTCCTTTACAAAAACAAGCTGACTAGAAACAGGTTTTCCTTCCTCCACAATCAGCTGTAACACACAGACTCATGTTTATTGCATAATAATTCTAACACCTAATATCTGAAAAGTACCTGTGAAATATCAGCATTTATTAGTCACCACACCTGGGCACACATGAAAGTAATTACCGACAGGAGATTAAAACACCTGCCCTATTACACAACAACTAAATCTTATTTCACTTATTCAGATTCAAAAGGATGCAAATCGCTCTACACACAACCTATATTAAATATAGTGTTTCCAGCTGAAAATTTCTTCATCATAAAATGTTATGAGAGCTGGGATTAATTACAGTCAGCATCCCTGAAAGACTTGCTTCATATCCCTGCATCGTGCACAAATCCAAACAACATTATTATTACAGAACAATTCCGCACACTTGATAGCATTAATGGTACACAGTTTATTTTATGTAATGCCTAGTAAGTTAATCCACATCATCACCAAACAGATCTCTTTTTTTTTCACACATTTTATCATCAGAAGCTTTTTCATCTTGCACATAAAAGCCGAAAGCAAAAGTGTGTACTTTGGGGAGAAATGTTATTAAAATGACTACTTAAGTAACGATATCAACTTGGAAGGCACGTTAAAAGTCTAACATTCCCCTCCCCATCCCTGAGAATTACTGACAGAGAAAACTATTTTGATGGAATACCAGGTCATATATACAGCGGTCGTCATTGAAGGCAGTTAAATTCAGCTCACTTATGAAAAGAAATATATCAACATTTAAAATGCTGCTCCAACACATATCTTGCGTCACAAGAGATTTTCTCCAATGGCAAGTAATTCTGTAAGTTAAGTTTTTTGATGAGCTGTAAATTAGAAATGAACTCTAAACAGGACAAGTGTGATGATAATGACTGGCAAATGACCAACACATGGATTTTCTTACGGAGGTATACCCACAACTACTATATAACACACAAAACATTCTCTCAACTCATAAACAACATTTTCACTTACTTATGAATTTTAAAGACACTCAAAATAGCCAGAAATTCCCATACCTGCTTCTTTGAATTCTTACCCATATGTATTTTATTTCATCTTAATTCAAGATAATACAGGAAGTGAAGAAAAAAAAAATGTGGCCACTAATCTCAGTCTGTAGATTCCGTTTCCTTTTCTGAATTAATTTGTAGGGATAGGAACGATTTCTGGCACAGACACAGAACTGATGACGTGAAAAGTGTGAGGTTATTTTTAAAGAAATCCAGTGTAAGATTCAGCTAATTCCTGCTAGTACAGCTCATATACCTGTATATCATATCATCTTCATAGTACATCAGGTATTGGCCTACAAGACTCCTCTATAGTATACCCTATACATAGATTGTCAATTTTGCTGCCCTTCTCACATCAAAATCAAAATTTTTTTTTTTCCAAAAAGGGTTTAGATTTCTTTCTTTTTTAATTTCAATAACCAGGCACTTAAGATTTTTTTACATTCAATGACTAAACAAGAGAACAATTCAGTCTATGGTATTGTGTCAGTACAAATAATCTGTTTTTTAGTTCATTACTTAAAGATCATTCTAAAGGATGAAAGCTAAATTAGTTAAACATAAGAGGAACACAGCAAAAACTGACATAAAAACCAAACTTACCTCTACACCTATATCTGACATTGTTCTTTTGTGAGAGACTGGTTATCATTCCAAAAAGACACATACAGTATGCTCTCAGTTTGTAAATAAAAATTTGGTCACGAACAGCACATGTTTTAATGGGATCTCTGGGATTGTGTATCTTACAGCTTCTTTATTCATAAAATTAGTGTGTCACTCGTGACATCTTTATCTATTCTCGGTTTTTTTTTAACCATCTATGTTTTCCCAAGTACATCTAAATAATGAACAGTACATAGATTTCAAATTTTTAGACTTTGTGATGCTGCAAATTATCAACAGATTGCACAGGCCTCAACACCAGGATTATCTTCCCTTGCATATGATTAACTAAAAATCAATTATATAAATATATATTAACTCAAAACACAATTCTAATTCCACATTTAATGTTTAGTAGTCATCTCAGTCAATAATTCATATTTAGATCTGAATTCACTCTCAGTCAATAATTGATATTAAGTAGTTCTGAATTCACTCTCAGTCAATAATTGATATTAAGTAGTTCTGAATTCACTCTCAGTCAATAATTGATATCAAGTATTTTTGTATTCACCCTAAATTTAAACAATACAGACTGGCCAATACAGAGTGAATACAAAGTCTTGATCATCAACCTGTACACCTCAACGACCTGTCCTACCAAAACAATTCTCAGTGATTTTGTAAATCCTAATATTACTGCCAGTTCACAGATGAAGTCTAACCAACCATAAGTTGTTATGGATAAATGTCCAGATTGACGGTAAAAGTAACGACTTCATTCACCGAACTTTCCTGTCCCCAAAATGCTCGGAGGGCAAACAAGAATCAACATCTTTGCAAATTAAATTCACAGCTATTTAGGAAAATTGTTCAATTTCATTTTCCAATGTTTGACTTCTAAGACGAAAATACAGACTTCAAAATTTTTACACTCGTCGGGTAAAGATTAATGTACATATTGTCCCAGTGGTAGAACAGTGTCTCTGATTGTGAGAACTTCTCACCTAAAAACTGGCTTTACGTCTATCACTTCCATATAATGACAAGTTGATGTTTCTTGTACATCTGATGTTCGGAATTAAACTGTATTGAAAGTAACCCAACAACTCACAAGTATACACTTTCCCTGTAATAACCACAAGGGTCGAACGTCCTTCAACCTCTTATTGCACAACACAAGACCAAACAGATGTTTGCATGCTGAGAATATTTGTCAGTCCTGTCTTGTTGTGTTATGGTTAGAAAATGTTTATATTGATCACTTTCACAATGTCTATAATGCATTTTACATTTTACTCTTAAATTTTGTGAAAGAGAAATACTGGTACGCTCTGCATTAGTTGTGCTAAATTCAGTTACCATGCAGGTAGTATGAAAAGTGAAATCCTATACCAAACTAAGCATTTATTATAACGAGATTTTAGTTCCATCTGCTAACAACAAGGTACATTTTTTTGTTATGTCAGAGAAGCAGGGAACACACTGATCTTGAATCTGTCCATTGATGTTAAACGTACTACCTTATAACTTACTGACAAGGAACCATTGCTACAGAATTCAATGACGAAATGTAAAAGCATTAAGTTCACAAGAGTTTCTCCCCCTTAATGGAATTCTCACCTGAAGGACACTTTTCACTGAGAATAAACACACTAAGTCCAGCTTTATTATTTGCAAGAAAACCTATTCTTTAAACTTTTTTTCAGTAAGATAATAACCAGATTTACTTCCCATGACTAAAAACAGTGAGTCAAAATCTTTTATTTTCTTTCAGATTTATATCCTCTCAACCAAACGTTGCTGCTATCATGCATTTCTCTACAGAGTTATTCCCCCTGAACAAAACCATGCACTTGCTGCACAAAGTCATATACTGACTGAAGAGAACTTACCTTTGTTTTATAACTCGCTGCTGCTCTTTTTTCCAGAAATCTTTGAAATCTTTACAAAACACCAACCACAATGAAAAGAAATAGTCTGGAGTCACTTCTTTCTCCCCACTCTTTGGTTTAACACAGAAAAACATGACAACCTCCTGAAACCTACAAAGAATAAGTCAGGACATTAAAACATGATAACCTCCTGAAACCTACAAAGAATAAGTCAGGACATTAAAACATGATAACCTCCTGAAACCTACAAAGAATAAGTCAGGACATTAAAACATGATAACCTCCTGAAACCTACAAAGAATAAGTCAGGACATTAAAACATGATAACCTCCTGAAACCTACAAAGAATAAGTCAGGACATTAAAACATGATAACCTCCTGAAACCTACAAAGAATAAGTCAGGACATTAAAACATGATAACCTCCTGAAACCTACAAAGAGTAAGTCAGGACATTAAAACATGATAACCTCCTGAAACCTACAAAGAATAAGTCAGGGCATTAAAACATGATAACCTCCTGAAACCTACAAAGAGTAAGTCTACAGAGGTCCACTGTCATTGATAGACTTTTTCTTTGACTTAACAACCTAAACCTTTAGTAAAAACACATTCAGCTTGATGATCAGTCCAATATCACTTTGATTTAGTATTTTTTGTTTTTATATCTTTTAAACTTTATTTTCACTACTCAAAACTCAGTCCCCAAAAAAGATGTAGATGAACTATAGTCAACCAATTAAGGTAAAATTCTATTTCTCAATATATGGATTAATGAGAGTATCTGACTTGACTGATTAAAGACATTTTCCTTTTATTTTCAACTTCAACTTGCTAAGCAAAATTTATAACTAAATACCACATTTATTTTCTTATTTGATTTCTTTTAAAAATGATAAAACGTCTCCATTTTAGGAAGTTACACACTAAAAAAAATAATTTGTTAAACTAAACACTAAATGCTACACTACCACATCATACTTACTTTGCACGACTTTCTTTCAAATTCTCTTCTTGTTCTTTGTATTCACGGCGTCCTATAACATCACACAACCAAAGGCTGAATAAGTCATAGTGACCATAGCAACCAGATAACACAAAAAGAATGAAGAAATCAAATGGCTGAAAAATTTATAACTGAAACTGAAAGTGGTTTGGAGTCATTATTAAGTTTGCCCCTAAATATCATTTATGTTCTGACATTCAATTAGTACAAGAGGCCCATATGTCTTACCACCTGAGCTCTTCAGGTCTTTGGACAGTTTTAGCACCTGAGCTCTTCAGGTCTTTGGACGGTTTTAGCACCTGAGCTCTTCCGGTCTTGCTCTTCAGGTCTTTGGACAGTTTTAGCACCTGAACTCTTCAGGTCTTTGGACAGTTTTAGCACCTGAGCTCTTCAGGTCTTTGGACAGTTTTAGCACCTGAGCTCTTCATGTCTTTGGACGGTTTTAGCACCTGAGCTCTTCAGGTCTTTGGACGGTTTTAGCACCTGAGCTCTTCAGGTCTTTGGATAGTTTTAGCACCTGAGCTCTTCAGGTCTTTGGAGAGTTTTAGCACCTGTGCATAAATCCCAGCATTGGGGCAAGCAGAAAAGAACTGATATATGCATACTTACAAAGTTTTTATTGTTTCTAAGTTTGAGGGCTTCATTTTCAAACAGAACTGATAACATACTCTGTTGTTGTGGTTTAGCATATTTGACCCCTGTGATAAAAGTCAAGGTCATTCATTTCAAAAACTTGATTGCCCTTCCTCCCATCATGTTACAGACCCGAAATCAGCTCTCTTGGTCTTTGGTGTTGAGAAGTCATTTAAAGATTTTGACATATTTTACGCCTGTGACCTTGAAAGAATGTCAAAGTCAATAATATGAAAAAAATTGGAATGGCTGCACATTCATCTTTACAAAGCTGGTAGCCCTTCATCCCAGCATGCTACAGGTCCAATATCAGAACTCTGGGCCTTTTGGTTATTAAGAAGAAGACAAAAAAGTCAATTTTTCACGAATTATGACAATGGACAAAAGGCAATCACAAGTTTCACTTGAGACTTCGTCTCAGGTGACCTAAAAAACAGAGCTGACCTAATCTGAATAAGAGTATATGTCAAGGAAACAAAATCCAACACATACCTCTTTCGAAGAATTCTGTCATGATGTCCTGGAATGGCTGCACACACTCTTGACTAGCTTTAGATTTCATTATTTTCTCAGCACATTTCTCTGCCGCTGAAATCAGTAAAATTCACACAAACATTACAATTCCAGTCTTTGTAATGACAGCTTCAATATGAAACAAAGCTTTTTGTAAAATGGAAGATATTTGGTTTCTATTGATTTACTAGTTTGTTTTTCTATTTCACCTTCAAATGAAAACATAAGGAAAACAAAAATTTGTACCACTAAATCAAAGTTTTGAAAGTCCTCCAAACACAGGTCTGACAGTAGTTTGCAGTGTTTTTGTCCAGTATATTGCAAGGTATTTTTAAAGGAACATTGACCTCCAGTCTGCTACTGAGAAAATATGAAGATCTGACGGCCAACATCTCCAAAATCTAACTTTGGTTGTGGTAACAATTCTTTAAAAGGTTTGTATGTTAAAAAATGTGTGGTATGAATTAACCTATTTTAATTTATCATTCTTATTTTACCTGAAAAGAGGCATTTTCAAAAATAAATCTGCACTGACATGAAAAGTTACTACAAAGATACTAGGATGTTTAAAAAATTTTAGAGGAATATTTTAGCACATTCTCAAAGTTAACTTTTTTAAGACAATAATTTGATAGAAAAATATCAAAGAATACTTTTCCTGATTCAAAAGGAGGGGATTTCATAGTTGGCATTATGTAAAGGCCTTAAGTGATATATTTTGACAGTAAATTACAGCTCCTGTTTAGAGTAACAGTGACCTTCAGTTTGATAACATTTTAACCTTGGATCTATATAGCCTTGTTAGGTCATCTAACCCAAATATAGCCTTGTTAGGTCACCTGACACAAAGAATAGCCTTGTTAGGTCATCTGACACAAATACAGCCTTGTTAGGTCATCTGACACAAATTATAGCCTTGTTAGGTCATCTGACACAAAGAATAGCCTTGTTAGGTCATCTGACACAAAGTATAGTCTTGTTAGGTCATCTGACACAAATATAGCCTTGTTAGGTCATCTGACACAAATATAGCCTTGTTAGGTCATCTGACACAAAGTATAGTCTTGTTAGGTCATCTGACACAAATATAGCCTTGTTAGGTCATCTGACACAAATATAGCCTTGTTAGGCCATCTGAGCCAAATATAGCCTTGTTAGGTCATCTGACACAAAGTATAGTCTTGTTAGGTCATCTGACACAAATACAGCCTTGTTAGGTCATCGGACACAAAGTATAGCCTTGTTAGGTCACCTGATACAAAGTATAGCCTTGTTAGGTCATCTGACACAAATATAGCCTTGTTAGGTCATCTGACACAAAGTATAGCCTTGTTAGGTCACCTGATACAAAGTATAGCCTTGTTAGGTCATCTGACACAAAGTATAGTCTTGTTAGGTCATCTGACACAAATATAGCCTGGTTAGGTCATCTGACACAAATATAGCCTTGTTAGGTCACCTGATACAAAGTATAGTCTTGTTAGGTCATCTGACACAAATATAGCCCTTTTAGGTCATCTGACACAATTATAGCCTTGTTAGGTCATCTGACCCAAATATAGCCCTTTTAGGTCATCTGACCCAAAGTATAGCCTTGTTAGGTCATCTGACCCAAAGTATAGTCTTGTTAGGTCATCTGACACAAAGTACAGTCTTGTTAGGTCATTTGACACAAAGTATAGCCTTGTTAGGTCATCTGACACAAATATAGCCTTGTTAGGTCATCTGACACAAAGCATAGCCTTGTTAGGTCAAAGGGCCAGGATGGTCTTATAGCCATCGTACTTTGTCTGTCAATGTGCGTTAACTCTTCATATTTCAAAATTTCTCTCAAGTTCTATAGGTGGGAAAATTTGCCCAGAGTAATAATGAGATTGTCCTCGTGTGTTGTTATTTTTAGAGTCAATCTGAAATTCGATTTGATCACAATCTTGAAAAACAGAATTAAAATTTCTTCTTAAGATCCACTGGTGCCACCAAGCTGAGAATTTGTGTGGAAGCTGACGTGATGTTATTTTTCGGTCTTGTTTATAAATTTCATATTGTTGATGTTAAACATATCTAACTTTGACGATTAGTTTTGCTTTAGAAAGTTACAAATAACAAAAGAAAGATATGATGGGCTTGATTCTGTTCCTGTTGGCTTTTATGAGTTATTTACATGTGTTATATTCATGCAGAAGCAGCTTACTTCACAAGTCTAGCGTCACTGATCCAACGAAATGAAGGAAAGTAAATCTAATATATCATTATGTCCCCAATAGAAGGCATATATGTTGTTAGCACATTTCTTCACACGACTCCTTAGACACATAGAATACACCTGTGTCAATAAACAACATACCATCAAAATCCTTTTTGATTTTTTTCATTTCCTTTTCGATTTCATCAAATGCCACCAGTTTGGCCTGATTCAGATCACTTGTGTCAGGAATAGGGGCAGTCAGACGGTCGGAGCTGGTGACATCTCTCTCATACATCTTCACATACAAGGTTACAATGTAAGATAGCAAACTTGATCTGTTGTCCTAAAAAAACAAACAAGATATTTACCAATCAAACCTCACATACATAAACAGAAATATCATTGACCTACTTGACAAATCTCAGACCATCTTCGTAAGAACATTCTCCATTACATTTTAATTTGTCTATTTCCTGAATACACTGATATGCTAAGATGCTACATAAAACTGGTTCTGTTCTATGACACAAGTTCCTGCAGACTTTTGACCTCTGACCCTGAAAATCAAAGTGTTTCACATGCTCCTGTTATGAAGAGAACTGTTTCACTGAATTTTGCTGATATATAGAACTTGTTTAGTTAAATACAGCAAATCAACCTTGACCTTTAACATCTGACTCAGGAAATCATTGAGTGAAGGTCAGAACATAACACAAGTTTGAATAACCTCTATGGCAGTTTTCTCCAAATTATGATAACATGTTATGCTCAGCCAAATGGATTTGGCAGAGATGCTTTCAGGGAATATTAAGGAGGGGAAAAAATGTCTTGTAAATCTTGACAGCTATGAAGATACTACATAATCCACTTTTGAAATAATAAAAATCTTTGGGCCTACCTTAGTTTTAACATCCTTTAGATTAGGTAGTATCTCTATACTGAAACCATCAGCTTGTCCCCGATTTCGATTCCCTGTAACAAATAGAAAATTTCTTTAAAATTTTGATTTATGTTCTACAGCAAACAACAGGTACCAATTAATACCAATTAGGAAGTCATGTAATTTTTTAACTGAAAAACATGATCTATTACCCCAAATAAAACAGGTAGAAAGTTACTGTACAGTAATCAAGGAGTACCCAACAAGTGCTTACTCAGGTTTAAACATAACTCAATCTAATCATCATCTAGATACAACCCGTCTTAACCTCATCTAACTTTCAGTCTTAACCTCATCTAACTTTCAGCCTTAACTCATCTAACTTTCAGCCTTAACTCATCTAACTTTCAGCCTTAACTCATCTAACTTTTAGGCTTACCCCCATCTAACTTTCAGTCTTAACTCATCAAACTTTCAGCCTTAACTCATCTAACTTTTAGGCTTACCCCCATCTAACTTTTAGGCTTACCCCCATCTAACTTTTAGGCTTACCCCCATCTAACTTTTAGGCTAACCCCATCTAACTTTTAGGCTTACTCCCATCTAACTTTCAGACTTACCCTCATCTAACTTTCAGCCTTACCCTCATTTAACTTTCAGCCTTATTCCCATCTCACTTTCAGCCTTACCCTCATTTAACTTTCAGCCTTACCCTCATTTAACTTTCAGCCTTACCCTCATCTAACTTTCAGACTTGCCCTCATCTAACTTTCAGCCTTACCCTCATCTCACTTTCAGCCTTACCCTCATTTAACTTTCATCCTTACCCTCATTTAACTTTCAGCCTTACCCTCATCTAACTTTCAGACTTGCCCTCATCTAACTTTCACCCTTAACCCATCTAACTTTCAGCCTTACCCTCATTTAACTTTCAGCCTTACCCTCATTTAACTTTCAGCCTTACCCTCATCTAACTTTCAGACTTGCCCTCATCTAACTTTCAGCCTTAACCTATCTTAACTTTCAGCCTTAACCCCACCTAACCATACCTATTTTCTTACTTCATCCATATAACAATCAGATTTATACCACAAAACTTTCATCAATTAACCTGTCTGAATTAATCTTATAAACTCTCAGAAATAATCACTTTATTGTAAATTTTCAGACTTGCAAAGTGTAAACCTACATACTGACCCCCATTCATATAGTTTCCTATAGCCAAGACAAGACCTCAGTGTATACCTACATACTTACCCCCATTCATATAGTTTCCTATAGCCAAGACAAGACCTAAGTGTATACCTACATACTTACCCCCATTCATATAGTTTCCTATAGCCAAGACAAGACCTAAGTGTAAACCTACATACTTACCCCCATTCATATAGTTTCCTATAGCCAAGACTAGACCTAAGTGTAAACCTACATACTTACCCCCATTCATATAGTTTCCTATAGCCAAGACAAGACCTAAGTGTAAACCTACATACTTACCCCCATTCATATAGTTTCCTATAGCCAAGACAAGACCTAAGTGTAAACCTACATATTTACCCCCATTCATATAGTTTCCTATAGCCAAGACTAGACCTAAGTGTACACCTACATACTTACCCCCATTCATATAGTTTCCTATAGCCAAGACAAGACCTAAGTGTAAACCTACATACTTACCCCCATTCATATAGTTTCCTATAGCCAAGACAAGACCTAAGTGTAAACCTACATACTTACCCCCATTCATATAGTTTCCTATAGCCAAGACTAGACCTAAGTGTAAACCTACATACTTACCCCCATTCATATAGTTTCCTATAGCCAAGACTAGACCTAAGTGTAAACCTACATACTTACCCCCATTCACATAGTTTCCTATAGCCAAGACTAGACCTAAGTGTAAACCTACATACTTACCCCCATTCACATAGTTTCCTATAGCCAAGACTAGACCTAAGTGTAAACCTACATACTTACCCCCATTCATATAGTTTCCTATAGCCAAGACTAGACCTAAGATATTTCGTATTCCTTCATCTCGCATCAGCAGCTGTAAATAAAGCAACAACATAAATAACTAAAATCTTATCCCAAATTTCTTCTTCAGACCTTTTTTCCATTTACAACTCAAAATCAGACCGTTCACTGCTTTCTCCCCATGGAACATATTGTTTCTATAGTAAAAGAAGTGTGAGATGGAGAGTACTGCTAACTACTTAGATATTAGATATTGTAGGTATATTTTGAATCATGTGTATCAAGTAATAGTGAATATAGCTAACAACTCCCAATATTTGAGATATCATGTGATAGTGACTATTGTTAACTAGAAGTAGTTTGGAATAGTTAGCTATAAGTCAGAGAGATTGGGGTCCAATTTACATCAGCAGTAGTAGAGGAGAGCTAGGAGTCTGAGAGAGAGTTAAGTGTCAAACTTACATCAGCAGTAGTAGAAGAGAGCTAGGAGTCTGAGAGAGATTTAAGTGTCAAACTTACATCAGCAGTAGTAGAGGAGAGCTAGGAGTCTGAGAGAGAGTTAAGTGTCTAACTTACATCAGCAGTAGTAGAGGAGAGCTAGAAGTCTGAGAGAGAGTTAAGTGTCAAACTCACATCAGCAGTAGTAGAGGAGAGCTAGAAGTCTGAGAGAGAGTTAAGTGTCAAACTTACATCAGCAGTAGTAGAGGAGAGCTAGAAGTCTGAGAGAGAGTTAAGTGTCAAACTCACATCAGCAGTAGTAGAGGAGAGCTAGAAGTCTGAGAGAGAGTTAAGTGTCAAACTTACATCAGCAGTAGTAGAGGAGAGCTAGGAGTCTGAGAGAAAAGTGTAATACTTACAATCAGCAGTAGTAGAGGAGAGCTAGGAGTCTGAGAGAGAGTTAAGTGTCTAACTTACATCAGCAGTAGTAGAGGAGAGCTAGGAGTCTGAGAGAGGTGTCAAACTTAAATCAGCAGTAGTAGAGGAGAGCTAGGAGTCTGAGAGAGAGTTAAGTGTCAAACTTACATCAGCAGTAGTATAGGAGGAGAGCTAGGAGTCTGAGAGAGAGTTAAGTGTCAAACTTACATCAGCAGTAGTAGAAGAGAGCTAGGAGTCTGAGAGAGATTTAAGTGTCAAACTTACATCAGCAGTAGTAGAGGAGAGCTAGAAGTCTGAGAGAGAGTTAAGTGTCAAACTTACATCAGCAGTAGTAGAGGAGAGCTAGAAGTCTGAGAGAGAGTTAAGTGTCAAACTCACATCAGCAGTAGTAGAGGAGAGCTCGCAGTCTGAGAGAGAGTTAAGTGTCAAACTTACATCAGCAGTAGTAGAGGAGAGCTAGAAGTCTGAGAGAGAGTTAAGTGTCAAACTCACATCAGCAGTAGTAGAGGAGAGCTAGAAGTCTGAGAGAGAGTTAAGTGTCAAACTTACATCAGCAGTAGTAGAGGAGAGCTAGGAGTCTGAGAGAGGTGTCAAACTTAAATCAGCAGTAGTAGAGGAGAGCTAGGAGTCTGAGAGAGAGTTAAGTGTCTAACTTACATCAGCAGTAGTAGAGGAGAGCTAGGAGTCTGAGAGAGGTGTCAAACTTAAATCAGCAGTAGTAGAGGAGAGCTAGAAGTCTGAGAGAGAGTTAAGTGTCAAACTTACATCAGCAGTAGTAGAGGAGAGCTAGGAGTCTGAGAGAGAGTTAAGTGTCAAACTTACATCAGCAGTAGTAGAGGAGAGCTAGGAGTCTGAGAGAGAGTTAAGTGTCTAACTTACATCAGCAGTAGCAGAGGAGAGCTAGGAGTCTGAGAGAGAGTTAAGTGTCTAACTTACATCAGCAGTAGCAGAGGAGAGCTAGGAGTCTGAGAGAGAGTTAAGTGTCAAACTTACATCAGCAGTAGTAGAGGAGAGCTAGGAGTCTGAGAGAGAGTTAAGTGCCAAACTTACATCAGCAGTAGCAGAGGAGAGCTAGGAGTCTGAGAGAGAGTTAAGTGTCTAACTTACATCAGCAGTAGCAGAGGAGAGCTAGGAGTCTGAGAGAGAGTTAAGTGTCAAACTTACATCAGCAGTAGTAGAGGAGAGCTAGGAGTCTGAGAGAGATAAGTGCCAAACTTACATCAGCAGTAGCAGAGGAGAGCTAGGAGTCTGAGAGAGGAGTCAAACTTACATCAGCAGTCATCTTGAGATTGTTGAATTTGTTTTCTATCACAGACATGCACTCCAGGAATGTTTGTTGAAAAATAAAGCAGTGTATTCTATCTACGAAGTCCGGAATCAACGTCAAATCGTACAAAAATCTGAAAACAGATCAGTGTCAGAATCAGGAACATGCTTACAATGTTAATGTTGATATATCACTTATTATGTCACCTGAAACAGGCTTGGGCTGGGTGATATGTTGTCCTAATTACATAACATAACTTATATGTTCAATGAAGCATACAGATATTAGCAAGCACTAGCTCAGATTAAAAAATATCGACAAGGTACTGGACATCAGAGAGCTCTGGACAAGGTACTGGACATCAGAGAGCTCTGGACAAGGTACTGGACATCAGAGAGCTCTGGACAAGGTACTGGACAAAGACAGGTCTGGACACTTACTTGTCTTTATCTACTGGTACATAACTTACTGGTCAAGTTTATCTAGTGGTACATAACTTACTGGTCTGGAATATCTAGTGGTACATAACTAACTGATCAGGTTTATCTAATGGTACATAACTTACTGGTCAGGTTTATCTATTGGTACATAACTTACTGGTCAGGTTTATCCAACGGTACATAACTTACTGGTCTGCAATATCTAGTGGTACATAACTAACTGATCAGGTTTATCTAGTGGTACATATCTAACTGATCAGGTTTATCTAATGGTACATAACTAACTGATCAGGTTTATCTAATGGTACATAACTTACTGGTCAGGTTTATCAAGTGGTACATAACTAACTGATCAGGTTTATCTAATGGTACATAACTTACTGGTCATGTTTATCTAATGGTACATAACTTACTGGTCATGTTTATCTAATGGTACATAACTAACTGATCAGGTTTATCTAATGGTACATAACTTACTGGTCAGGTTTATCTAGTGGTACATAACTTACTGGTCAGGTTTATCTAATGGTACATAACTTACTGGTCAGGTTTATCTAGTGGTACATAACTTACTGGTCAGGTTTATCTAGTGGTACATAACTTACTGATCAGGTTTATCAAGTGGTACATCTGGGTGTTTATCCACATGCTTTTTCAGTTTTTTTATTTCATCTGGTTCTCCTCGCTGTAATATAAAGGTACTGTATGTCACATGAGAAATTCCAACATGATTTCCACCAGTACAGTACTATCTAGTGGTGATAAGAGAACTATTCGCAATAAAATAATAAAACAAGAGGCCCATGGGCCTTAACGGTCATCTGACAAAAAGCAAGCCAAACTCGAACAACAGTGAGTCTGCCGTTAAAACAGTGGGCTTTATTCATTTGAATAAACTTGGTAGCCCTTCCTCCCAGCATCCAACAGGCCCAATATCAGCACTCCGAGCCTTTTGGTTACTGAGAAGAAGTTGTTTACAGATTTTAACATATTTGAACCCTAAGACCTTGAAAGTGGGTCAAGGTCATTCATTTGAACAAATTTAGTAGCATGTCATCCCAGCATCCTACAGGTCCATTATCAGCACTCTTGGACTTTAGCTTATTGAAGAGAAGTTGTTTGTATATTTTAACATATTTGACCCCTGTGACCTAGAAATTGGGTCGAGGTCATTCATTTGAACAAACTTGGTAGCCCTTCATCCGAGCATCCTACAGACCCAATATCAGCATTCTGAGCCTTTTGGTTGTTGAGAAGAAGTTGTTTAAAATTTTTAACATATTTGACCCCTGTGACCTAGAAAGTGGGTCGAGGTCATTTATTTGAACAAACTTTGTAGCCCTTCCTCCAAGCATCCAACAGGCCCAATATCAGCACTCTTGGACTTTTGCTTATCGAGAAGAAGTCGTTTGTATATTTTAACATATTTGACACCTGTGACCTTGAAAGTGGGTCAAGGTCATTCATTTGAACAATCTTGGTAGCCCTTCACCCCAGCATGCTACAGACCCAATATCATCATTCATGGACTTTTGCATATTGAGAAGAAGTCGTTTGTATATTTTAACATATTTGACCCCTGTGACCTTGAAAGTGGGTCAAGGTAATTAATTTGAACAAACTTTGTAGGGCTCCATGCCAGCATGCTATGGGCCAAGTATTAGCCCCCTAGGCCTTTTAGTATTTTTTTGAATGAAAAGTTTATGGACGACGCATGGCGGACGGCGCACGACGGACGAAGACGGACGAAGCACGATGGCTATAGGTCATCTCGACCCTTCGGGAGAATTAAGAGAGTCTCACAGTCAAACAATTATTCTTTTATTTATCAATGTGTATATATAGAAATTTATTTTCAATAACATGTATTTATTCTAATTTTATTCTAACCTGCCACTTCCACTCTGTGGCTTCAGGACTGTAGACTGAGTGTATTCACCATAATTCCATCAACTATGTTTATGTACACAATGAAATCTGTGTACTATCTATGTCAAATCAAAATGTAAACAACATGTGTAATTGCAAGGCAGAGACACTAATATTAAGTCTTATGTTTCTGAATTGTTACACTACAATTATCCTGGTAGATAACATACTTACACTGTCATATATTGCCCTGAGCTTCTCTGCATTCACTACTGAGGTGTCAAAGGTTAAAATTGCTGAAAAAAATCAGATAGAAGTATAGAGAAAATGTATGTTTACAGGCATGTTAAGATTTAAAAAATGTTTTCTTTTTGTTTTTTTGATAAGACTATCTGAGTGAGTAATTATGAAGGGTTCAGAATTGAGAGGGATCAGAGTTGAGTTCAGAATTGAGAGGGGTCAGAGTTAGAAGGGTTCAGAATTGAGAGGGATCAGAGTTGAGTTCAGGGTCAGAGTTAGAAGGGTTCAGAATTGAGAGGGATCAGAGTTGAGTTCAGAATTGAGAGGGGTCAGAGTTGGAAGGGTTCAGAATTGAGAGGGATCAGAGTTGAGTTCAGAATTGAGAGGGATCAGAGTTGAGTTCAGAATTGAGAGGGATCAGAGTTGGGTTCAGAATTGAAAGGGATCGGAAATGGAAGGGTTCAGAATGGAGAGGGATCAGAGTTGTGTTCAGAATGGGGAGGGATCAGAGTTGGAAGGGTTCAGAATTGAGAGGGATCAGAGATGGAAGGGTTCAGAATTGAGAGGGATCAGAGTTGGAAGGGTTCAGAATTGAGAGGGATCAGAGATGGAAGGGTTCAGAATTGAGAGGGATCAGAGATGGAAGGGTTCAGAATTGAGAGGGATTGGAGATGGAAGCGTTCAGAATTGAGAGGGGTCAGAGTTGGAAGGGTTCAGAATTGAGAGGGATCAGAGATGGAAGCGTTCAGAATTGAAAGGGATCGGAAATGGAAGGGTTCAGAATTGAGAGGGATCAGAGTTGGAAGGGTTTAGAATTGAGAGGGGTCAGAGTTGGAAGGGTTGTTATTACTTTAAGAAAGAAGACTCTGTTCTGTACATTGCCATTTTGTTTGATTTCTAGAGGTGATCAGTACTGAGAAGGTTTGGAGAACACACTGTTAGACTAAGTTGAGAATATGTACCATGTTCTATTTCGGTCATTTCCATCCTCAGACTGGACAGAAGGATGCCCACCACCTGTGCTCGCTTGGGCTCAATCACCTTAGCTGCCTGTAAAATGAAACAGTGTAGACAATAAATAACAAAACAACAAACCTTACTGCAATCTTCCTATAAATGTAGGAATTTACAATCCTCTCACAGTCAAAAATCTACAACCCATATACTCAAATTATAGCTTACATACATTCAGTGAGGTACCTAGTAATTAAATCATGTCAACATATCCTTAAATTTTACTACAGTTATAAGTAAACATACTTACTATATACCTATAGTTTTACTTACTATATACCTACAGTTTTACTTGCTATATACCTACAGTTTTACTTACTATATACCTATAGTTTTACTTACTATATACCTATAGTTTTACTTACTATATACCTACAGTTTTACTTACTATATACCTACAGTTTTACTTACTATATACCTATAGTCTTACTTACTATATACCTACATACTTACTATATACCTATAGTTTTACTTACTATATACCTATAGTTTTACTTACTATATACCTACAGTTATATACTTACTATATACCTACAGTTTTACTTACTATATACCTATAGTTTTACTTACTATATACCTATAGTTTTACTTACTATATACCTACAGTTTTACTTACTATATATCTACAGTTTTACTTTCTATTACATACAGTTTTACCTAACCCTATATGGACTGTCAACAGAGAGGTATTCTTTACCTGTTAATTAAAGATCTGTGATGATAATTAAATGCTGTTTACCTGTTGTTGTATGGATTTTCTGCGATGAAGATTGGTTCGATGGTTGGTGTTGAGCTGCTGTTTGGAGAAGAGAGAATCCACTTCCATGAAGTCCAACCCACTGGCCTCATTCAACTCATCCCACACTAGACGTGCGTTTGCCAGACTGTAACAACAGGATTACAACCGACTTTTTCTTATTTCATATTTCCTTTTCATTACAAAAACAGTTTTTACCACAATTGGAATTCTGTTACTGACACAATTTTTATTACAGGACAACTTCTACATCAGTGAAATTAAACCTTTATACTATGTTGTTTTTAAGTTTTTTTACAAGACCACTGATGAAGTAAAATCTTGTTTTGTGTTTGGAGAAAACCAATGTGTTATCAGTGGGGTAACAATTAATCAGACATCACCCGAATAGGTCACACATCATCTCCTGTCACAAGTGTGTCTTGATCCCATGTTCTAGGGGAAACAACTCATCAGGACACACAGACCACAACAGACCACAACACAACAGACCACAGCAGACCACAACAGGCCACAACAGACCATACAGACCATACAGACCACAACAGGCCACAACAGACCATACAGACCATACAGACCACACAGACCACAACAGACCACATAGACCATACAGACCATACAGACCACAACAGACCACAACAGACCACATAGACCATACAGACCACACAGACCACAACAGACCACAACAGACCACATAGACCATACAGACCACAACAGACCAAACAGACCACAACAGGCCACAAAAGACCATACAGACCACAACAGACCATACAGACCACAACAGACCACAACAGACCATACAGAACACAACAGACCATACAGAACATACAGACCACAACAGACCACACAGACCACAACAGACCACATAGACCACAACAGACCACACAGACCATACAGACCACAACAGACCACATAGACCACAACAGACCACACAGAACATACAGACCACAACAGACCACACAGACCATACAGACCACAACAGACCATACAGAACATACAGACCACAACAGACCACACAGACCACAACAGACCACATAGACCACAACAGATCACACAGACGATACAGAACATACAGACCACAACAGACCACACAGACCACAACAGACCATACAGACCACAACAGACCACACAGACCATACAGAACACAACAGACCATACAGACGATACAGACCACAACAGACCATACAGACCACAACAGACCACACAGACAGCAACAGACCACACAGAACATACAGACCACAACAGACCACACAGACCACAACAGACCATACAGACCACAACAGACCACACAGACAGCAACAGACCACACAGACCACAACAGAAAGGTGCTACTTACTCTTTATTTTTTGAATGTTTGATATCATGTAACTGGATCCTCTGCCAAAACAATGGTTTCATGGGGGACTTGGGATTGATGGGAGATTTGGAGGGTCCTGAAACAGCCAATATGTGTATCTTAAAGCTGGACTCAAAGTAAAATAAGCTTAAAACCTCAAACTTAATCAATGATGAAGAAGTTCAACAGGTATATAACTAATTAACAAAATATCAATTTCTACCAGAGCTGTCCTTCCTTAACAGTTACAACACACCCTGGCTTCAATTAAGTTGTTGATAAAGCTAGAATGGAATGACTAATACTTACTTCTACTGCTCTGTAGTCCCAGCATGCCTGGAGCAGGAGGAGGTGGAGGAGGTGGGGGTCCACCCATAAAAGGGGGAGGTGGAGGAGGTGGGGGCCCACCCATAAAAGGGGGAGGCGGTGGTGGAGGTGGAGGAGGGGGAGCTGGGGGGTCTGGCCGGAGCTCTGCAGGCACAGCCGGCGTGCCCATACTATCTCCATTCTCTCGTAGAATGTTCACAGGGAACTTGCCTGTCACACATTCAGGTGTGACAGCAGGTGTGTGATACTCTGAGTTAGACGGTGTGGACTGTGGTGTTGCAGTGACTGCAATGATTCTTGACCCGTCTGGTGCATAAATATGTCCATTAATTAGATCCTTGCCAGCAGCCTCTGCTTCAGCTAGAGCCTCCTGGGTATATTCTTCAATGCCTGCTAAAGCCTTGTACTTTTCTACTTCTCTCTGCAGGTTTGCGATACGCTCAGCATACTGTTGAACACTTTTTTCATGCTCCTCACGGAACTTGTTCAGCACAGCCTGATGCTCATCCTGAAGCAAAGTACAAAATTACCATAATCTAAACTTTTTAACTTAATTAAAGTTTAGGTATTTTCCAACATGAATTTAACAGAAAGAAGAACCTACAGTAACATGGTGATATTGCATTTTAATGTTGATACCTACTTTTTAACTTAATTAAAGTTTAGGTACTTTCCAACATGAATTTAACAGAAAGAAGAACCTACAGTAACATGGTGATATTGCATTTTAATGTTGATATTCCAAGCATGGCCTTACATGCATTCAATTACACCTCAGTAAAAATATGAATATCACACTTCAAAAGGAAGAGGTTCAGGAGACCTGTACCACTCATTCATATTTCCATTTTTGGGGTTTATATTCTCTTACTACCTATAAGTTATAACAAGATTTCCCAAAAAACTAGGCCTTCCTTTGTCCCACGAGGATAATCAAGTCAACTGTTATGAAACAGTTTATGAGAAGTCATGACAAGTATACAGAGGATGGAGGCTACACCATGGTATATCATCTACCACTGAGACAGGTGAGTAAACATACCTTCAGTTTTCTTACATCCTCTTGATACTCATGTCGTAAAGTGACCATAGCTGCCTGGTGATCTGAAAACATATGTAGTATATCAATGAATATTGGAACCTGATTTATACATAACGACAATATTTGAAACCATACAGTGTGGGTGTATATTGAGGTAGTTTATGTAACAAAGAGGTCTGGCCATGAAACCATATACAGTGTGGGTGTATATTGAGATAGTTTATGTAACAAAGAGGTCTGGCCATGAAACCATATACAGTGTGGGTGTATATTGAGGTAGTTTATGTAACAAAGAGGTCTGGCCATGAAACCATATACAGTGTGGGTGTATATTGAGGTAGTTTATGTAACAAAGAGGTCTGGCCATGAAACCATATACAGTGTGGGTGTATATTGAGGTAGTTTATGTAACAAAGAGGTCTGGCCATGAAACCATATACAGTGTGGGTGTATATTGAGGTAGTTTATGTAACAAAGAGGTCTGGCCATGAAACCATATACAGTGTGGGTGTATATTGAGGTAGTTTATGTAACAAAGAGGTCTGGCCATGAAACCATATACAGTGTGGGTGTATATTGAGGTAGTTTATGTAACAAAGAGGTCTGGCCATGAAACCATATACAGTGTGGGTGTATATTGAGGTAGTTTATGTAACAAAGAGGTCTGGCCATAATCAATATTACTACCTAAAACAATATCACTACCTGTACAGGTGAATAGTATAAACAGTAATACAGGGCTGGCCTTAATCATTACTACCACCTCCATTATTAAACTTTTGTCAGATTTTACATCATTCTTCCGAAACCTGTTGCTATGGCACATGTAAACATAGTAAGTCAGTCTACACACTCTCTAACTTTAATCAATACTTTTAAGATATTTTAAAATTTAGAAAAAAATAATGCTTTTCTTTTGAAAGTTGAATGATGTCAAGACATTTTACATTGGTATTAAATTGTCTTATACACACATCAAGTTATTTCATCATGATGATGTGGGTTTGATTATTAGGATAACCTTCAACATGAAACCTTTATACATTGTTATTATGACATCAAAAGTTCACAATCTTCTCAGAATATAAAGTCAAACAGAAGGTCATAATCTTATAATTAAATAAATGTCATCATGTCCTCTTAATGTCATCATGTTAACTGAATGTCATTGTATGTTAACTGAATGTCATTATCTACACTAAATGTCATTGAATGTCATTATCTACACTGAATGTCAGTATGTTAATTCAATGTCAGTGTGTTAACCCAATGTCATTGTGTTAAATAAATGTCAGTGTGTTAACTGAATGTCAGTGTGTTAACTGAATGTCTTTGTGTTAACTAAATGTATTTGTGTTAACTAAATGTCATTGTGTTAACTGAATTTCATTATGTTAACTAAATGTCATTGTGTTAAATGTTACCTCAATGTCATTGTGTTAATGTTACCTCAATGTCATTGTGTTAATGTTACCTCAATGTCATTGTGTTAATGTTACCTCCATGTCATTGTGTTAATGTTACCTCAATGTCATTGTGTTAAATGTTACCTCGATGTCATTGTGTTAATGTTACCTCAATGTCATTGTGTTAAATGTTACCTCAATGTCATTGTGTTAATGTTACCTCAATGTCATTGTGTTAATGTTACCTCAATGTCATTGTGTTAATGTTACCTCAATGTCATTGTGTTAATGTTACCTCCATGTCATTGTGTTAATGTTACCTCAATGTCATTGTGTTAAATGTTACCTCAATGTCATTGTGTTAATGTTACCTCCATGTCATTGTGTTAATGTTACCTCAATGTCATTGTGTTAAATGTTACCTCAATGTCATTGTGTTAAATGTTACCTCAATGTCATTGTGTTAATGTTACCTCAATGTCATTGTGTTAATGTTACCTCAATGTCATTGTGTTAAATGTTACCTCAATGTCATTGTGTTAATGTTACCTCGATGTCATTGTGTTAATGTTACCTCGATGTCATTGTGTTAATGTTACCTCCATGTCATTGTGTTAATGTTACCTCCATGTCATTGTGTTAATGTTACCTCAATGTCATTGTGTTAAATGTTACCTCAATGTCATTGTGTTAATGTTACCTCCATGTCATTGTGTAAATGTTACCTCAATGTCATTGTGTTAATGTTACCTCAATGTCATTGTGTTAATGTTACCTCGATGTCATTGTGTTAATGTTACCTCAATGTCATTGTGTTAATGTTACCTCAATGTCATTGTGTTAATGTTACCTCAATGTCATTGTGTTAATGTTACCTCCATGTCATTGTGTTAAATGTTACCTCCATGTCATTGTGTTAATGTTACCTCAATGTCATTGTGTTAATGTTACCTCCATGTCATTGTGTTAATGTTACCTCGATGTCATTGTGTTAATGTTACCTCAATGTCATTGTGTTAATGTTACCTCAATGTCATTGTGTTAATGTTACCTCAATGTCATTGTATGTTAACTGAACATGAATGGTCACTAGAAAGGTGTATACAAAGCAAAAAAACAGAGACTGAGATGATATAAATGACTTTGTTTTGGCACAACAAAGCAGGTGATGATGAAATGATTGAAACTATCCACTACAGAATTTCTAGTATAAAATATCCTTCTTATTGTGCTCTTAATTTGACTGCTGTGTCGGTCCATTGTGGAGTAAGAATGTGAAGGACTTTAACAGTAGTTATAGTTGTTTATTTCATTATAACCAAGTACTTACCAACATCATGCTACCTTTCTAATGTCTACATAACCAGATTTATACCACTGTGTATAAAGGTTAGTTCATAGTTCAGTTTTATTTGTAGAATATCCTTAATTGCATGACGATACTGTAACATTCAAAATCCAAACTTAAATGGAAGTTGTCATCATTTTTTTTAATCAAAATTTCTACAATGTGAATATGAGACAACACACTGCAGCTGTAAATGTATGAGGTAAAATAAACATATACAAAAATGTATATATTTACAACTGTTAGAGGTCAAAAGATATATACACTGAAAAAATGTTTCAGTTTAACAAACCCAAACTCATCTCTAAATCACGCAAGCAAAATTAGACACTTGTCTCCCTAACATCATTAAAACATACATCATATAAACACCTCCAACCCAAACTACCCAGTTAGATACTTGTCTCCCTAACATCATATAAACACCTCCAACCCAAACTACCAAGTTAGATACTTGTCTCCCTAACATCATTAACTACCAAGTTAGATACTTGTCTCCCTAACATCATTAACTACCAAGTTAGATACTTGTCTCCCTAACATCATATAAACACCTCCAACCCAAACTACCAAGTTAGATACTTGTCTCCCTAACATCATATAAACACCTCCAACCCAAACTACCAAGTTAGATACTTGTCTCCCTAACATCATATAAACACCTCCAACCCAAACTACCAAGTTAGATACTTGTCTCCCTAACATCATATAAACACCTATAGATACCTAACATCATATAAACACCTCCAACCCAAACTACCAAGTTAGATACTTGTCTCCCTAACATCATATAAACACCTCCAACCCAAACTACCAAGTTAGATACTTGTCTCCCTAACATCATATAAACCAACTTAGATACCAGTTAGAAACATACCATAAAATCATATACTACCAAGTTAGATACTTGTCTCCCTAACATCATATAAACACCTCCAACCCAAACTACCAAGTTAGATACTTGTCTCCCTAACATCATTAACTACCAAGTTAGATACTTGTCTCCCTAACATCATATAAACACCTCCAACGCAAACTACCAAGTTAGATACTTGTCTCCCTAACATCATATAAACACTTCCAACCCAAACTACCAAGTTAGATACTTGTCTCCCTAACATCATATAAACACCTCCAACCCAAACTACCAAGTTAGATACTTGTCTCCCTAACATCAAACACCTCCAACCCAAACTACCACACCTAACTACCAAGTTAGATACTTGTCTCCCCATATAACATCAAACTACCAAGTTAGATACTTGTCTCCCTAACATCATATAAACACCTCCAACCCAAACTACCCAGTTAGATACTTGTCTCTCTAACATCATATAAACACCTCCAACCCAAACTACCAAGTTAGATACTTGTCTCCCTAACATCATTAACTACCAAGTTAGATACTTGTCTCCCTAACATCATATAAACACCTCCAACCCCTCCAACCCAAACTACCAAGTTAGATACTTGTCTCCCTAACATCATTAACTACCAAGTTAGATACTTGTCTCCCTAACATCATATAAACACCTCCAACCCAAACTACCAAGTTAGATACTTGTCTCCCTAACATCATTAACTACCAAGTTAGATACTTGTCTCCCTAATATCATTAACTACCAAGTTAGATACTTGTCTCCCTAACATCATATAAACACCTCCAACCCAAACTACCAAGTTAGATACTTGTCTCCTTAACATCATATAAACACCTCCAACCCAAACTACCCAGTTAGATACTTGTCTCTCTAACATCATATAAACACCTCCAATGCAAACTACCAAGTTAGATACTTGTCTCCCTAACATCATTAACTACCAAGTTAGATACTTGTCTCCCTAACATCATTAACTACCAAGTTAGATACTTGTCTCCCTAACATCATTAACTACCAAGTTAGATACTTGTCTCCCTAACATCATATAAACACCTCCAACCCAAACTACCAAGTTAGATACTTGTCTCCCTAACATCATTAACTACCAAGTTAGATACTTGTCTCCCTAACATCATTAACTACCAAGTTAGATACTTGTCTCCCTAACATCATATAAACACCTCCAACCCAAACTACCAAGTTAGATACTTGTCTCCCTAACATCATTAAAACACACATCATATAAACACCTCCAACCCAAACTACCAAGTTAGATACTTGTCTCCCTAACATCATATAAACACCTCCAACCCAAACTACCAAGTTAGATACTTGTCTCCCTAACATCATTAAAACACACATCATATAAACACCTCCAACCCAAACTACCAAGTTAGATACTTGTCTCCCTAACATCATATAAACACCTCCAACCCAAACTACCAAGTTAGATACTTGTCTCCCTAACATCATATAAACACCTCCAACCCAAACTACCAAGTTAGATACTTGTCTCCCTAACATCATATAAACACCTCCAACGCAAACTACCAAGTTAGATACTTGTCTCCCTAACATCATATAAACACCTCCAACCCAAACTACCAAGTTAGATACTTGTCTCCCTAACATCATATAAACACCTCCAACCCAAACTACCCAGTTAGATACTTGTCTCCCTAACATCATTAACTACCAAGTTAGATACTTGTCTCCCTAACATCATTGATCAAGATTAAAAATCTCCAAACAAAACAAAATTTTTTAAAAAGTCAGATTTTAAATCCATGCTCTATTTCTAATTTTTATCAATAATTCAATCTGAAATTTTCTCTCCAGGTAAACAATAGAATGTAAGTGAACAAAGGGCCATTACTCTGTTTTTGTTTTGGCCTTAAGACCATTGCTAATTCACACTATGAATTCCTAACATTTACTAACATATGTCTATAACCACTTGTGTCTTGTTTGGTATGGAATACAAACTACATATATCCCTCTGTAGTAATTAGGGACACTACGCAGTACAATAATACAGACATGCTAATTACGTAATAAACCATTATAAATATGATTAATATTGTATGTTGGTTTGGTTACATACACAGTAAGTAAAAGCAAGCTTATGATGAAGCAAAGACTGAACTATTCAATGTTTTTACTGTATGACACAAGGGTTATTATGGCTGATGGTAATTATAATGTACAGACTTGTATCTCACAAAACTATTACAACACTTACGCATATGATTTTTATGTTTGCCATGTAATCGTGCTGAAAAAACACCAAACAATAGTGTAGAAACACTCAAGTTTTGTAAAGTACCACATTTTTCTGCTTTTGACACTTATCTGAACTTAATTAATAAAACCTCAATCTAAAATTTAAAATCCAATAGATACGATATGAATAGAAAATGACTAGAAATATGCCATGAACATGGTCGTTTAATAGACTACCCTAAGTCTGCAATGTGTTAATGGTATTTTAACGCATCATTGGTCCAATGACTCATCTTAAATAGTAAGGTCATGACCTTTAGAAATCATCATTTACACTTGGAAATGGCCTAGGCAGGGCAGACACATTATACAGGAATGTGTATTGGTGTGGGGGAGTGGATCATTCACTCTGGATATATAGACAAACTGCTCTGATTTCACACCGGATATGGCCAACATGCTTTCATTCATCATCCTTAGAGTAAATCAGCCTCATTTCTATAATCTTCTTATTCTGACTGACATACAGTATGTACCCTTGTAATGACCCAGCATTGTATAAAGGATACAGAGTCAGGTTAAGTATACACAGTCGTACATGCCAGGAAAAACATTGTCTCCTCAAATAGAGAGTCAAATTAAGTTTAGACAGTCGTACACACCAGGTAAACTTTGTCTCCTCAAAAAGAGAGTCAAATTAAGTTTAGACAGAGTCGTACACACCAGGTAAACTTTGTCTCCTCAAAAAGAGAGTCAAATTAAGTTTAGACAGAGTCGTACACACCAGGTAAACTTTGTCTCCTCAAATAGAGAGTCAAATTAAGTTTAGACAGAGTCGTACACACCAGGTAAACTTTGTCTCCTCAAATAGAGAGTCAAATTAAGTTTAGACAGAGTCGTACACACCAGGTAAACTTTGTCTCCTCAAATAGAGAGTCAAATTAAGTTTAGACAGAGTCGTACACACCAGGTAAACTTTGTCTCCTCAAATAGAGAGTCAAATTAAGTTTAGACAGAGTCGTACACACCAGGTAAACTTTGTCTCCTCAAATAGAGAGTCAAATTAAGTTTAGACAGAGTCGTACACACCAGGTAAACTTTGTCTCCTCAAATAGAGAGTCAAATTAAGTTTAGACAGAGTCGTACACACCAGGTAAACTTTGTCTCCTCAAATAGAAAGTCAAATTAAGTTCAGAGTCGTACACACCAGGTAAACTTTACTTCCCATCAATGTCAGTATTTGTACATTCTGTCTTGGCTGTAATGATATTCCAAATCAACTGTTTATCAGAGTCTGTAGATAATCTTCATAATCTAAATATCAGATCCTTAACAGTGAACAACTCTGCAATGCTCTGGCATTTATACAGTAATGACTGACATGAGAACACTGAGCGGCATTTCCTACTTGGACAACAGCAATCTGAAATCAGGTCTTTGACATTCATTAATACAATATACAGATAAGCAGAACATGGCAGTCTTATCAGGGTAGTTGTACCTGCTTCTGTGTACTTAAGTCCATGTTGACTGTCCTGATTGGGCAGGTTGGGTGGCCACATGGGCGTCAGCTTGCCAATATCAGCATTTTGTTTGGCCACTGGGTTCTCGGTGTGGGTCCAGTAGTACATACAATCCGTCTACAACATACAAAGCCCTTGTTAGTCTTGCTACTAAACAGGTATATACATCTTGTCTGATAGTTTCTGTACTGACACATTTAATGTCTGATATTAATACACATCTTGATGGTGATTACCTTACACCTCACTAACACGTCAATGTAACAAAATAAGTGTCATCATGCAATATATAATTCACAAAGAACATCTTCAATTTATATTTACCGTGTAATTTTAGATCAGTCATTGTGTTTATCATGATCTTTCTTATACTTGTTCGTATGTAGGGTTTTTCTTGCTCACATATAAGATAGACCTCAGGATTCCTCAATCACAAATCAAAAATATTTTCTAGTACTGGAGTGGAGTGCAAGTTCAAATTGCAAGACTGAATAAGAACAAACTGACTGCCAACCAGTAAGATTTGTATCCCAGTAGTACATTTTTACACCTCACAAGATGTCCTATCTAGATGATATGTGACATTTCACACAACATAATCATTTTAAACATATCATTTATGGCTCATGTCACAACAGTATATAAGTTAATGTTTACAATAACTTGTTCAGTTCCAATCTAAAAACTGGCATCAAGAAAGCAGAGTCATTCAGGTCAATAATCTGCCAAACATTTGTTTTTACCTGTTGCACGGATGGACTGCTGTTTATGGCAGAAAAATTTTCACTGAAGTTTTCAGTAAAATCCAACATAAGGAATTGTTTTACAGATTCCACCACAAAAAGTACATGTATATCCGATAGGGTGATTGTACACACATCCAGAAGTTATCAGAGATTTCTACTCCTAATATACTGCAGGAGTTATCCCTAATTCAGGCTAACACATGGATCACACAGAGCACACGGAGACAGTAACCGTGGCAAAGAGCTTCCCTGTCACGTTTACCGTAAATGTCACACTACATAATATCGTCCTACAAATCTGGGCAAGTCTCCAGCACCAAATATTTCCACTTTTATGAATGAAATTTAAATACTTTGACACAAGATGTAAATATGACTGGAATTTCATTTTAAATACCAATGCCAGTCTGTACAGAAAATGACTGTACACAATGATTACTATGATTATATCTGTGTAAGATGGCCCTAAGGCATCAGTCTTTCTTTGTGACAGTGTCTATTTGTATTTCATGCTTGGCCAATATGAAAATGATTGATTTAATCATCACCAGTAATGTTACCCTCGTGTGTATTATACCGTATCACGATCTTAACTCTCCTACCGTTATTTATACGGTGAATTCATCAACCTCATTTTTCATTTTTAAAAAGACCCTGCACACCTATGTACACATATAGTATGCTACTTCATCAGAAACAGTAGATAAATTGTTTACACAACATATATAAAATATCTAATGTATGAGAGGATAAATCCTATTCATTTTGTATAGACTGTATAAATTATACCGGAGAGAGATAAGAATTCCACAACCTGTATCAGTAGTATTAATTACCTTATACATGTGTAAGTGAAATCGAGGTACATGAAAGCAGAAATGTTGTTCCTTATATTTCAACAAAGCTGAAGTCTTGTTAGCCTAAAAATGTTGATGTGACGGTCAGATGCTGTTTTGAGGAATAAATACTTGGTTGATTTAAAGGTGAAAAGTTTACATCTACTGGTGATATTGTTCTTTAATCCCTTCAAACGATGAAAAATTATGACACAATTGCTGATAATTAATAACTTCAATCCACAATAAAATCTAATAAACAAGCTTTAATAAAGGATGTGTGTTTAAGAGATACAGGCATAGAACAGTACTTATTAAAGGATTTCACTGTTACAAGTGTTGAGGAGATTTATAACTTAGGTAGAGATATAACAGGTAAGGTGTTTTATAACATTTTTCATTCATGATTAATGAATTACTGTCTGAGATATAGATACATAATTGTATTTAATTAAGTTGGATATGATACACCTGTATGCTATAAAAGTATCAGACAATCTGGTGATTCAACTTACTGCACTCTTACAGGGTACTGAATATGAAGTCATCAAGCTAAATAGCACTATCACCTGCTTCAAAATCATCTATCTAATCTGTTTCTAAATTTGCTGTCAATAATCAATAAACTTAACAGAAAGTATCAATATTTTTCTATGTCAATTTTTTTTCAAATGAAGATGATAAAATTCTCCACTACTCATCAGGACAATCATTTGTACATACCTTGATACTTCAACACTAGGAACAGGTATAAAACATGTTTCTGTAACCCTCTAATGATCTCCGTGGACCTCATCATACGACAACCTCCATTAAACCACAGCCTCAACAGAACTGATTCTCACCCCTTCCATAATGGGCTGTGTATACTATATATAGATAATCTATAACTACCTGACCAACAATCTTAAACGTGGTCAAATAATTTCTGTTTCTACCTGTAGGTATAGAGAGATCAAACGGCCGCTTGGTCGTATGTGGATACATGTTAATCCTGTGGTCTGTATCTATCCTATGAGATGACAGAAGACTGTGGCCAAGACCAATACACATACTAGGACTGTATCAGGACCATCAATTTTACTGTAGGTTGACAAGTTTTGGAACTTTATCTTTGCCCGTAAAGAAATCTAAAGTCTTGGTAGAATCAGCAAGCAGTATAATGATGAAAGCACACATCTAAGCTGGTAAGTGATATTTGTAAATTGTTAAATGAGTTCTGTCTTCAAATTTCTAACCTTCAACCTAGTAATCTTCTTTTTTTCAGATCTTAGTGACTTTTTGAAATAGTTTTATACAAAGATCTTAGTAATACTGCAGACAGATCTTTATAACATTGTTAAATAATTCTACAGACAGATCTTTGTCACATTGTTAAATAATTCTACAGACAGATCTTTGTCACATTGTTAAATAATTCTACAGACAGATCTTTGTAATATTGTTAAATAATTCTACAGACAGATCTTTGTAATATTGTTAAATAATTCTACAGACAGATCTTTGTAATATTGTTAAATAATTCTACAGACAGATCTTTGTAATATTGTTAAATAATTCTACAGACAGATCTTTGTAATATTGTTAAATAATTCTACAGACAGATCTTTGTAATATTGTTAAATAATTCTACAGACAGATCTTTGTAATATTGTTAAATAATTCTACAGACAGATCTTTGTCACATTGTTAAATAATTCTACAGACAGATCTTTGTAATATTGTTAAATAATTCTACAGACAGATCTTTGTCACATTGTTAAATAATTCTACAGACAGATCTTTGTAATATTGTTAAATAATTCTACAGACAGATCTTTGTAACATTGTTAAATAATTCTACAGACAGATCTTTGTCACATTTTGAAATAATTCTACGGACAGATCTTTGTCACATTGTGAAATAATTCTACGGACAGATCTTTGTAACATTGTTAAATTGTGTCACATTGTTAAATAATTCTACAGACAGATCTTTGTAACATTGTTAAATAATTCTACAGACAGATCTTTGTAATATTGTTAAATAATTCTACAGACAGATCTTTGTCACATTGTTAAATAATACAGACAGATCTTTGTCACATTGTTAAATAATTCTACAGACAGATCTTTGTCACATTGTTAAATAATTCTACAGACAGATCTTTGTCACATTGTTAAATAATTCTACAGACAGATCTTTGTCATATTGTTAAATAATTCTACAGACAGATCTTTGTCACATTGTTAAATAATTCTACATTGTTAAATAACAGATCTTTGTCACATTGTTAAATAATTCTACAGACAGATCTTTGTCACATTGTTAAATAACATTGTTAAATAATTCTACAGACAGATCTTTGTCACATTGTTAAATAATTCTACAGACAGATCTTTGTCACATTGTTAAATAATTCTACAGACAGATCTTTGTCACATTGTTAAATATCTTTGTCACATTGTTAAATAATTCTACAGACAGATCTTTGTCACATTTGTAATATTGTTAAATAAATAATTCTACAGACAGATCTTTGTAATATTGTTAAATAATTCTACAGACAGATCTTTGTCACATTGTTAAATAATTCTACAGACAGATCTTTGTCACATTGTTAAATAATTCTACAGACAGATCTTTGTCACATTGTTAAATAATTCTACAGACAGATCTTTGTCACATTGTTAAATAATTCTACAGACAGATCTTTGTAACATTGTTAAATAATTCTACAGACAGATCTTTGTCACATTGTTAAATAATTCTACAGACAGATCTTTGTCACATTGTTAAATAATTCTACAGACAGATCTTTGTCACATTGTTAAATAATTCTACAGACAGATCTTTGTCACATTGTTAAATAATTCTACAGACAGATCTTTGTCACATTGTTAAATAATTCTACAGACAGATCTTTGTCACATTGTTAAATAATTCTACAGACAGATCTTTGTAACATTGTTAAATAATTCTACAGACAGATCTTTGTCACATTGTTAAATAATTCTACAGACAGATCTTTGTAACATTGTTAAATAATTCTACAGACAGATCTTTGTAATATTGTGAAATAATTCTACAGACAGATCTTTGTAATATTGTTAAATAATTCTACAGACAGATCTTTGTAATATTGTTAAATAATTCTACAGACAGATCTTTGTAATATTGTTAAATAATTCTACAGACAGATCTTTGTCACATTGTTAAATAATTCTACAGACAGATCTTTGTCACATTGTTAAATAATTCTACAGACAGATCTTTGTCACATTGTTAAATAATTCTACAGACAGATCTTTGTAATATTGTTAAATAATTCTACAGACAGATCTTTGTAATATTGTTAAATAATTCTACAGACAGATCTTTGTAATATTGTTAAATAATTCTACAGACAGATCTTTGTAATATTGTTAAATAATTCTACAGACAGATCTTTGTCACATTGTTAAATAATTCTACAGACAGATCTTTGTAATATTGTTAAATAATTCTACAGACAGATCTTTGTAATATTGTGAAATATAATTCTACAGACAGATC